AGGTTGGTAATTTCTAGAACTTTGGTCGCGTCTGTGTAGATTTGTTGTAACTGTTTACCATCCTAGTAGAATTCACCATTTTTGAGCTCACGACTAGGAGTGCTGACAACATGCAAGATGGAGTCGGTGCCGAGTTCAGGCGATCGACTTCCTATTTAGATCGGTGCTACAATAGCCTGATTAGGCATGCACCAGTTACAGTTATTGAACGGTTAACTGTAACTGCAACTGTTATAACTGTAAAACTATAACTATCATAATTGTTAGGAAAATAGTTCAGAATGAGTTATCGTTGTACTATTAGCATAGATTTCAGAGTAAGGACAAAAAAGTTTCTATAGAACTGACAGAGGTTAGTTACGTCTTTGAAAATAATTATTTCAGTCGACAAAACCACATCTATTTCTTTATTGAGCAATGTAAGAACATGTGTGCAGCACATGAAAAACGTATGATACACTGTTAGAGTATAGAAATGAAATGTTATAGGACAAGAATAAGAAAAAGGCATACATCAAGAGTTTATTAAAAATTTCATAAAGCAGAAGCAGTTATAATAGTTATACAGTTATGACAGTTACAGTTTTACAGTTAACTGTAACTGGTGCATGCCTAGCCCGGACAGACGGCAGATATGAATACATTTACGGTATCAGACCATGGACGTGCTTCAACTCAAGTGAGAGTGATAAGTGTCGCCTTAAAGATATCGTAGCTCAAAAAGTGGACTTAACATTGTACCCACAGCTCTCGACAGTGTTGGAATAAAGTGCCGAAACAAAATCATCAACAGGACGATGGAGCTGTTCTGTAGTTAGTATCATTTTCTAAGAGTAATTCTGATATGACTTATCAAAACTTACTTACAGAAATTAATTATTATCAAAGTCAAACAAAAAGTCAAAGCAAATGCTCTAGAAGGATACATGGTTATACAAGACAACAAGCAAGACAAAATTGTCAAGCCAATTTTGGTAGCAAGCGATAAGAAAGCTTCAATGTAAGTGATAATTATGAATAATTGAACGTTCACGAACTTCCTGATATGTCCTCAAGAACAACTCGGCAAGTGATCCAGGCCGTTCTCTCTAATATATTGTAGGACTAATGATTGTATGCAAAAGTGTAAAAGGATTTGCGCTAATTGGTTTGTTTGTAGGGATGTGAGTGGTTTAAGCTTACCGATAACGGGGATTACACACGCACATTCTCCAACAAAGGAATGGTATTTAAAGCTGAACCTACTTACCGTTATGTTATTAGCGTGAAAAATGCTATACACTTTCGTCACGTGTGACGAAAGTTCTTTCTACGTTGCTCTACACATTGCGTTTTACTTCGTATTGTTCTATGATGAAAGGCAAACGTCTGCATTGTTAGTGACAGTTCTGAACTGAAATTAATGTCAGTAAAATAATATTGCCATACGATTCAGCATAGTCGAAATTTATGTTCCGTAGGGCTCCGAGGAAGACTTCGTCACCTGTATAACCACCGCAGATGAATCCAACGCTTAAGACACGTTTTCCTAGTCCATTAAGAAATCAAGTCACAAGTGAAAAATTGACATATACTTTTTATTTCATATTCGGAGTCTACTATTAAAACTGGGGTTATGAAAAGTATGAAGGAACTTTCTGACTTATTCTGGCTGAGTTACAGAATTTACAAAATGAGCACTATCGTCGACTTGAGAAAAGTAGCCATCTCTGATATTTTGACTATAACTTCGCCATTTTTATCCGTTCTGTTCGAGCAACATCTCATTCGAGACCCTGATAAAAGTAAACAAAGTCACATAATAGTTTCCAATTTTTCTGAAGTAGGAAGTGACTGTTTAAAATTCACATCAATGGGAAAATTGAGATTTTGAAGGGTCAACATTTTCGAAAAAAATCCTACGTTTGACCCTCCAAACAGAATTTTGCTACAAATTCGAACGTCACATACGACAGAGAACTCAACTTTCCATAAAGTGAGTGTAAAAACTTTATTTGGAAGCTGGCGGAAAAGCTCCAAAACTAGCAAATAAGATGGCCGACCAACTGCGAGTTTTCAGTTTTTTGAGATTTTAGTCATCATAACTTCACTTAAAAACAAAAATAAGATGATATTTGGAATCGGCGTCAAAACCTACAACAGATGATGTGCCTTTGAAATTTTTTGGAGATAGCAAATTTTGACAACATTTTTTCTTTCTCTAAAAGAATTTCAAAGGCACATCATTTTTGGTTTTAAGTGAAGTTTTGATGACTGAAATGTAAAAAAACCGAAAACTCTCACTTAGTCGGCTACCTTATTTTCAAGTTTTGGAACTTTTCCGCCACTTTTAAAATAAAGTTTTTGCGCTCAGTTTATGGAACTCAGCCAGAATAAGTCAGAATGTTCCTCCATACCTTTCACAACCCCAGTTTTAGCAGTAAAATCCGAATATGAAATAAAAAGTATCTGTCAATTTTCCCAAAACTTGAAAAAGGTGGCCGACCACCTGCATTCAGTTTTTTGAGATTTTAGTCATCGAAAAATTGTCGAAATGTTTCATTTCTCTAAAAATGGCACATCATCTGTTACAGTTTTTGATGCTGATTCCAAATATCATCTTATCGCATTTTTCTATTAAAACTAGGGTTATGAAAAGTATGAACGAACATTCTGGCTGAGTTCCATAAACTGAGCGCAAAACTTTATTTTAAAAGTGGCGAAAATAGTTGAGAGAAAAGTGCTCTGCACAAGTGGCGGGGGAAAGTGTCCGCTTTAGTCACTTTCCGCGGAGGCAAGTATCCGCGCGGGCAAATCCGCGACATTTGCCATCGCAATTTTACAACAGCTCGACATGGACTTCAAACATTGTCAAGCACTGATCTTGGCACCAACGTGAGAACTGGCTCAATAAGTATCGTGTTCTATACCATGTGCTCTTTCTCAATTGACTTATTTATTGTGTTTGTAATCTAGATCCAGAAATTAGTATTGGCACTGGATGATTATATGGGTGTCACATGTCATGCTTGCATTGATGGTAAAAATGTTTGTGATGATATAAAACAACTTGAAGCAGGTGTTCAAGTTGTCGTTGGTACACCTGGTCGGGTCTATGATATGTTAACTCGATCGGCACTTTGTACGTGTTTCTTTTTGTCCTGCATTCATCCTATTTTTTATTCTTTATCCTGTAGGCAGCAAAAATATCAAAATGTTCGTATTGGATGAAGCTGATGAGATATTATTTCTTGGTTTCAAAGAGCAAATTTATGGTATATTTACTATGATGCCCGGAAACGTTCAAGCCATTCTTCTATCAGCTACGATGCCCAGTGATGTACTCGAAGTCACAACTAAATTTATGAATAATTCTGTGAAAATTCTTCTTAAATTTCTTTAAATAATTCTTATCAAAAGAGAAGAATGGATTGCTTGAAGGTATTCGTCAATTTTATGTGACCGTTGAACGAGAAGTAAACAGACATACTTTTCATTTTATGATGATGAATTTATGAATGATTGTTTTTATCTAGGAGTGGAAATTAGATACGTTATGTGATTTATATGAAACATTAACGATCACACATGCTGTCATCTTTTGTAACACATGCCAAAAGATTGATTGGTTAACTGAAAAACTAGGTGCACGTAATTTTACTGTGTCTGCTATGGTAATTGCCAAGATGATAGTTTTGAAACAATCGATTGTAAAGCCACATATTGACATACAAATTCATTTTTTTTATTGTAGCATGATGACATGGATCAAAAGGAACACAATGTTATCATGAAAAAGTTTCGAACTGGTTCCAGTCGAGTCTTGATAAGAACAGATTTACTTGGATGTAATACTGATATCCAACAAGTCGGTTTTGTTGTCAATTATGATCTACCGAATAATCGTGAGAATAATATCCATCGGTAAGAATTAATAATTTCGAAATGAGATGAGTTTTGTCTCTTTTTGTTAAGTATCAGACGTAGTGGTGCATTCGGTCGAAAAGGTGTGGCTATCAATTTCGTTACCGATGATGATCGACAAACATTACGCCACATTGTACAATTCTATAATACACAAATGGAAGAAATGCCTATGGACATTGCCGTATGATTTAAAAGAGAGACATATTATCACTTTCAAGATTATAATTTTACCATCTGCTATCTATTCTGATAATAAAGAATCAACTATAATACGTCATTGTGAAGGAGAAAGATTTCACTCAACTGTGTTTCGTTTTTTTTTCTTGTCAACTCGTCTTTTTATGTTTGTTGTTACGTTTCGTTCATTAAACCGGAAAAGAAATGATTTATTTCATATACTAAAAATATCTCTGTAAAATGAACTAGCTGAAAAGCGTCATTGATATCTGGATATGTTGACCTTCTAAGCGATTTCATTGAATCATCATAAATATTGCAACTGTTCACTTTTAACATGCCCATACACCCATACGATAATTCTTCATTTGTACCGAGATGTTTGTTCTTCGTGATGTATGTGTATCCTACCAAAGATGCGAAGTTGTAAAACGATGGAAAACCTTTGAATGATCATTTTTCGATTCAGTTCAAATAAGTTCCTTTATATGTTATTAACCGAGTACATATTCACATGCTTGTTTTGCACTTTCAGCATAGGTGAGATGAGCAAATAGAAGAAGACAATTGTCACGTAGAGGAATATATTAATGTAAATTGACGATTGTTTCCATGAAGAAACACAATCTGCACTTTCAATTCATTCATTAAAATCAAATCAATTGGATGATTGCTGTCATACTTACTCCATGAAATAATCATACTGTATTATTTAATTATTTCTGCTGCTGCTTCGTGCACTAATTGCACAGCTAAGAATCTTGAGGGTGGAGATGAGAATGCATGCTGCCACCTTCACCCACCCAATCTCACTCTCACTCTCACCTATCCTTAAGAATTTTTAATGGGTGCGCCGGCTTGAATGGCCGCATTTTACATTCCCGTTTTCATTCACTTAATATATTGTATTAAAAAAACAAAATATACCACAAGATGCAACGTGAAAAGCTCTACAATTTATATGAGATCGTTCTTTTTATAGTTGCACTTTTTGCTTTCAAAGTGGTCAAAATTTTAAGTGATCAAATTTTAACCGTGCGAAAACGATTCTTTTTTTCGCACAAGATGGTTCTGTTTATTTCGTATTTCCTCGTCTTATCACCTCATATCTTTCACTAAAAAAAAACAAAATATATCATAAGATGCAGCGTGAAAAGCTCTACAATTTACATAGGGCCGTCTTTTTTATAGTTGCACTTTTTGTTTTCAAAACTGGCTGAGCAATCAAATTTCTACCGTGCAAAAACGGTATTTTTTTTGTGCAAGATGGATTCATTTTTTCTTATTTCATTACCTGATATCTTTCATTTAGAAGAAACAAAATACACCATTAGATGCAGCGAGAAAAGCTCTACAATTTACACGAGACAGCTTATTGTAATTGTTGTTAAAAAGCAAAATTCTCTGCGATCAATTTTCGCACAGTCGAAATTTGATCGCTCTAAATTTTGACCACTTTGGAAGTAAAAAGTGCAACGACAAAAAAAGGGGTCTTATGTAAATTGTAGAGCTTTTCACGCTACATCTTATGGTATATTTTGTTTTTTTAATACAATATATTAAGTGAATGGAAACTGGAATGCAAAACGCGGCCATCCAACCTGGCGCACCCGTTACTTCTTTCTGGATATTGTATTACCTCTTCAAAACACATTTAATTATTGCAGCTAATCAGAACAGTAATATCGTTTCCAACGCATTCAGCCAATCTCTGGTAGAAGCGAACTTATTTCAAGACCTTTGACAGAAAGCTTCTTACCTTCTTGCAAAACGAGTGCTCGCGGTATTGTATTGATATTTATGTATAATGACAGAGAAGAGTGAATGAAACAGAAACAATTTGAATATTGAATTTATTTATCTCGACGGTGTTAACATTTTCTCCTCTGAGTTTTTTTACTGCCATCATGACGATGCTCTCTCGATTCACGGAGGAAGGAAAAGACATTCTCAGTACGCCACATCGGTGCAATGTTGATGCCTAGCAAACTGAGAATAAATTAACAGATTCCGCAATCAATGCGTTTTGTTTCAAGGGTGCTTACGTTCTATTGTTTTTTCGCTTGTGCTGCTCTACTGACATTGTTTTCTTCTTCTATGACGATAACATTTTGCTGTACAAGATCTAATGTGAAAGATTAGGTCTTTGAAATTACATGCTTTTGGTCGTCAGAATTGGCCAACAGACAATGGGAAAGACTTTTATTCAGATACTAGACGGAATCATGTCTAACTCTTGATGTCCTTCAAACATTTATCTAGTTTGGGTTGTTTTATTCGAACACTCGCCGACACTATACAGAGATCTATGATGATTGTAAAACAAACTCTTCAAAACAATCATTCTTCAATTTTTCTGTTGTGACAGCAGCCATACAATGGGCACTTTCTTTCTTTATGCACAGAACACTTCATTTTTTTCATAATGTACGTCATTTCAACGACAGGAATCATTTCTTTTGATGTTCATCAATGGCAGAAACCAGTGAGGAGTAGTATCATGAAGACGATGCGCTGAGCTAAGAAATCTTCAATCAGTTGCTGAACAAAAGATCTCAATTTTCTTCAACAACAACAGGATACTGCTACCTAGATCTGTGAAGATCGGGATGATGGTGATGTCCGCAAATTAACAGTCCTTAATACCCATGACTACTAAGTTATCTGGCTTCATAGTGATGAAACTTCGGATGACAACAATCGGTCATGGATTGAAATACGATTGCGTATGAGTTTTCTCAGAGCAGAAATATTTTCAAACAGTGATGCATGCCTGTCCTACCTGAAAGACTCACCGATTGGAAGCAAACTCTTTTTTCTTGGCAACGGCAACGATCATGAACGAATAAAACAAGCGATCAAACATTTTCGTTTCTGCCATCTATTCTAGAATCGTTCATCAACTCATACAACGCGAAGCTTTATTGATCTGTAAGAAAATTTCATCAAATTACGTGATGCCGATGATGACAAAGAAGAGCTTGCAGAGCAAGAAAAATTTCAACAGGCTATCGATTAGGGTCCTGTGGGACAAACTTTTCTGTTACCCCGAGCCCGTAAGCCCGAACCCGAACAGAAAAATTTTTGTCCCGTCCCGTAAGCCCGAGCCCGTGAGCAAATAATGTTGTCCCGAATCCGTCTGTCTCGTGAAAACGAGGGCTTTTTTGCCCCATCCCGTTTGTCCCGTAATTTTTTGAAAAAGTTTTTTCTGCTGTAATAAACCGGAACTATTACAAGCGACGCTTAAAGTCTCAAACTCAGTTTTGCAAAAAATCCGCATGGCAAAATTCAAGCCTATTTTATTGGGGTCTAAACTTAAAAGTTGCAGTATAAAAGAATGCTTTACATTCACTCACTAGCTCGGAAAGGAAAGAACGGTAAACCTAGTTTTAGATATAGAACATCTTCTCAAGTTTAAATCCGGATTATTTCGCCTCTCCAGGTTAACTTTTATCAGTTATTGTAAAATTACGGTTTTCATGTGACAGTACTGGTGGGCCCAGAACAAATGACCCTCCTCGTATTTTGCATATAACTTCTTTTCTTTTCAATCATTAGACCTGATCGTTTTTCCAAAAGATGCGCCGTCAAATTCTCTACAAGACTTGATCAAACTTATTTCTATACCAAGTTAAGGAGAAAAATGAAATGAAGAATACTCAATACGATGAAAAGGACCAACTTTCTAAGCTGAAATAACGTTTTGTTCCACCGCTTTCATTGAGTTGGATGATGAAAAGAAGAGAATACACGCATTTTGTGGCCATTGACAAGCTCTATCAACCAGTATTAGATGCGCAATGCAAAATCAATCTTGCACCAAAATAGCACCTTTCTAGCTCGGTCTTTTTTTTATTTTGATGAGAAATGATACTTGTGCGACATTTAGCTGCGAAAGTTACCTTAACGCTTTCTTCAAACATTCACCTGCCAAGCAATAGCAGATTTTGGTCATCTTGAGGTGAATTTTGAAGATGTCAGATTTTTCAGTGTTAACTTAGATTTGAACGAACTGTGAACTGCATAAGGAGAAAGAGCATACTTTAAAGTACTCAAAAATATCTTCAGTTTTGTTTCATTGTCTTTAGTCTTGTTTAAAATATTCCAAAATTTGTAAAACAAAATAGCTTAGAAAGTTGGTCCTTTCGTCATGTTGAATTTTTTTCGTTTCATTTTTCTCCTCAACTTTTTATATAAATAAGTTTGATCAAGTTTTGTAGAGAATTTGACGGCGCATCTTTTGGATAAACGACAAGGTCTAAGGATTGAAAAGAAAAAAATTATAAGCAAAATATGAGGAGGGCCATTTATTCTGGGTCACCCGATATTACCAGAATTAAATATTTGAAGTTGCAGTATAATTACAATCAAAAGACAACTTACGGGACAACATTTTTCTGCAACTTGTCCCGACCCCGTAAGCCCGAGCCCGTGAAATTTTTTTCTTGCCCTAAGCCCATGAGCCCAAGCCCATACATTTTTTTTTGTCCCGACCCTGTCTGTCCCACTGGACGGGACAGACGGGATGGGATTTGGGACTGCCCCGCAGGAGTCTACTATGGATAACTACGCTGTCAGTTTACTCGATCGAAAACGGATTGATAAATCATTCGATAATATTAAACATCGACTGATCATAGTCTTTGATCGGCTAATCAGTTTCGTTGACCAACAAGCATGTTTCGATTACATTGAGTCATCCATTGATATTAGCGCACCTGTATTTGTGATTTTCTTTCATTACACTGATACAACCATCCCGACAATCACCGGAACAATAAAAGGAATCTACTGGATGGACTCGCTTACTCTGCCATCAGCACAACAACACTTTCACCACATCGAGCAATTGATCAGTGTTCTTCGTCGAGATATTCGAGCCTTGATCAATGATTTTTCCTTCAGCATAATCCAAAAGTCGGTTCGACCGTTAGATCCAATGCATGCTTCGTATACATCATTGATGGCATTCCTGGATGTTTTCATCAGTCTCACACATGATGACGATCGTCAAGTAGCACAAAAGGATTTTTTAACCAATTCTCGTGCTGCATATATCAACAATTCAGCACAAATGCGAGTGATCGATCGATTTGCTCAAGAGTATCAATCTTTTGAACAAGCCATCGGATGGTATACACGTGACTCATTTGTTTATCGGCTAGTCAATCGAGCATTACACTCACAAAATCCTGACATAATTCACAAATATCGCTTTTTTATCAATGATCCTATGCTTCATCTTGACACTTTGCATCAAGGAGAAAAGCGTGCTTCAGTCAAAGAATAATGGCTCATTGTCTATCGAGGACAAGGAATGCGCGTTAGAGAATTAAATAAACTGAGACGTCATATCGGAAAAGAGTTTGCATTAAATTCGTTTTATTCAACGACTCTCGATCGAGATATGACTATCGAATTTGCTTTGGTATCAACGGACGGCAGTGATATTTTATCGATTTTGGTTATTCTAAATAGTGATCGAACACTACTTCATACACGACCATTTGCCTCTATCGAACATCTAAGTGTGATTCCGAACGAGCGAGAAGTTTTAATTTCCATGGGATCTGTATTTCATCTTGAATCGATTGAATTTGATGAATCGAATCAAATATGGGTTGTTCGTATGATTCTAGTGGAAAATAACAAAGATGATGTCAAAAACTTACAGATGGATCCGGCAACTCATAAAGTTTCTTTTAACCTATACCGAGAGGACAAGAGATGGTGTGCATTCATTTTTTGAAGCGGCAATGCAAGATACGATCATGGTCCATAACTATATGAAATTGTTGAAAGCAATACAGAGGAAACGATTCAACAGGAAACAGATAAACTGAAACAAGAAATGGAAGACATTTTCAGTGTCTATGGAGAAAGGAAATAAGCTGTTTCATACTTTATGCCAAATAAACTCAGTACGACAGTAACATTTTGAAATTATAAGAGGTTTACTCGTTCCTTTGTACCATTGGTCAACTATACTTGAATGTCATCGTGTAACTTTGTTAAAACGATCTACATCAGTAGAAAATCTGTAATCTTTAGTTATACGAAGACATGAATAGAACACATCATAGAAGCATAAGCAATTAACAAATACATGTCGAGACATGAAATGTGGAATTCAAATTAAAGCTAACAATGGAAGTGTTTGTGTTGTTCGTTAAAAAGATGGGACATATTCAGGTCAAATGAAAGCTCTCACCGCCAAACTAACAAGATTAAAATATTATCGGCTGTTGGCTTGCCTAGAGGGAGATATTCGAATTTTACTGTATTTACAGTGTCCGTAGGATGTCCACAATTCAAAATTTCGGTAGAATTTATTTTTCTTTTTTCGTGGTTGGATAAAGCTCGTCAAGTTGCATTAAAAAGAGTATCTTTCAAATTTTAAACAGATTTTTAAAAAATTTTGCTAAGGATCGGAATTTTGGATCTATTTTTCCTTATATTTGAAAATAACGGTAACTTGGACTCTTCGTCTAAGACTTTTTAAAATTTCTTTTTAGCTTTAAAAAGTTCCTAAGGGCTAAGTTTCAGCAATATCGTTTTCGTCATAGATTATAATATTGCTCAAAAATAACTTTTATTACAGAAAACGAAAGGTAACAATTGATACATGGGAGAATGCGCCGCATCTTGGGGAACAAGAATATATAATTAGAATTAATTTTCGTCTATGGAATACTAAAAAGTGAAGACCACAACATTTGATAATTTTTCCAACTTTTTCGTTTTTTTTAGAATTTTGCGATTTTCCAGCTAAACTTGCGACTCTCGTATCTCTTTGAAGGAATGTTCATGCTAAAAGATAAGACCACATTCGGTCAACTAAAAAACACTTGTGTTTTTGTGGGAGAAACCCCATGGAATGGACCAAAACAGCTCTGAGACTGATTCAATTCAAATTTTACTAATTTCTCCTTGTTGACTAAATTCATAATACTTATTCGATCTCCGACTACCAAAGCACACCACTCGAAAAGTAATATGTCTTTCTGTGAATTCAGTTCAAGCCAAACTTGCTCAATTGTATTGTCTGTGAAAAGCCCACAATCCTATATAGTACTTGCCTGCGCCTTATTATATCTGAGGTACATTGACGAACTCTAACATTTCAAATTTTCTTGATGACCTACGATCTTTAATACATAAGATAGCAGCAGAAACGCCAATCGTGTCGAGTCTTAAAAATTAGATCTTCTCTTGAATTCCTAACTTTTCATCATTATTATAGTTATCCAGCACATACGTGCGATTAAAAATTTCCTTTTTTTCATTTTAGATTCTGTCTGAATAGTCCGACAACCAGCGCAGAGCAGAAGGATCCAAATCTTGTGGATGGCATCTGTTCTCTCAACCTTTGAAGAGAATTCTTTGCTTATATGCTTTCCTATATAGATATTGACGAGTGATTCGTTAATTCTATTTGTCGAAGATTGTGCAAACTAAACGATTGAAATGTTGATAATGCTTTGTATTGACAAACTATTCATATTAACGCATTCATCGTAAAACCACCTGATGACGCTCGGCAGAGCAGAAAGAATCAAATCTTGTGGATGACATCTGTTGTCTCACCCTCAAGACAGACTGCACTCGCACCCATACCCGTCCATCCACCTCACACCCTTGTGACTGCTGATCGTAACTATTTTTATTCCATGACTTACCATATTTTAATTAAGTTCGTTAGAATAGGTGCTAATAATTTCAAATTTGTATGACAGTTAGAAGAGAAAAAGAGCTTCAAACTGGTGTAATTTCTACCTGATTAGGACTTATCGTTAATTAGCAGAGGTTTGTTTCAGAAAACTCCATGTATTTGAATGGACCGGCCGGAATTATCCCGGGGTAATTCCGGCCGGTTTGGAGGTCCCTGTCTCCTTTTGAACACTCGTTGAAAACGGAGAGGAATTTTTAGGAAATTTTTACATCAGTGGATAAAGAACTGTTAGTTTCATCTTCATATTCAGTAGCACGCTTATTCGATTAAAAACGCCTTAGAAATACGCAAAATACAAAGAAACTTTGTGCAAGTGACCGGAATTTCCCCATCTGACTCTATAAAACAAAATCAGTTGCAAGACTTTCAACCTGTTCTTAGGTCATCATCAGGCAATAGTGAGAAAATTGTGTCATACATCAAAAGGAAGGAAAAAGACAAAGAAAAAAGAGAACGAAGTCATCAAAGTTTAATATGTTTAATTACGTCAAAGGGGAAACAAGACAAAGAATGTGATGGTGCTAATTTTGGACGTTGCAGATGTTATGGTGGTGAACGGCAATTTAGACTTTTACACTTTCTTCTAGAAAAAGTCGGACTAGCCGAAGGGGACGGGAGACGGCTGTACGAGAGTGAGTCACTATACAAGACGTTCAAGTTGAGCACTTTTGGATGTTGTAGATGTTATGGTGGTGATCGATGATTTAGAACTTTTAGACTTTTAAGATCTAGTGACTATTCTATAACAATCATTGCCGTTGCTCAATTTGAACTTCTTGTATGGTAACTTACTCTCATACCGTCGCTCCCAATTATCCAAATTGCCATTCATCATCATAACATCTACAACATTCAAAATTAGCACCATCACACTTTCCTCTCGAAACTTGCTCCACTTCCCGACGAAGATTTTGAAGCGGGCTGACGATTAAGTTCGTGTATTCCTTGATTTGTTTCGTGAAAAAGCGCCCATAGCGATCCTTTACATTGATGCGCTGCTTTCTGCAGGCGAAGATCACCAAAGGTTCATTCAGGAAGCATGCGATAGACCATCCTCAAGTCTCTGAGAAGGTTTTTGATAATGCGATACCGTAATATCGAAAGGTTTCTCTGGTAAATTGACTATAACATTGAAAATAACAAGCGTTTCTTTGTGAGACATGCTACAAAAATGATACGTTTTCATCATCTTTCTCATGCCTAAAATGATTAGGTATGCACCGGTTAAAACTGCTTTTAGGGCATATAGGAAAACTGCTGTACCTTAAGATGATCATATTCTTGTTCAAAGCATATTTCTTAGGTCATGCAACCTAAAATCGACCGAGATGCAACAACGTCATTGAAACTACTGCGTTGTTACATATAAAAGAATCAGGAAAGATATTTCTTATATAGTCACTGTCTCCTCATGCCTTTCTGTGACATCATTGTTTATATTACATCAGGCTGTTATTTTTACTATTGTATCTTACATATTTTCTCGACTATAAAGAAGTTACACAGACTTCTACATTGCTTCACTTCTGCGAAAAACGATTTGTTCTGAAATTAATGTTAAAAAACACGAAAATGCACTTATATTCCACCATTTACACCAACAAAAATTAATTTTCATTCAAAATTAATCACATATCTGGAAACAGTGTCAAAATCTGAGTCAAATGACATATCTTTGATCAAATAATACTTTTCATCAAAATTGGACCTTCACTCCTCTCCACGTCTCTTTTCGGTAAAGACGTTTGGTGAACAAAAGACGAAATTTTATTCGCTCTACGTGGATTTTACTATTAATTCTGAGATTCGCATATACTGTATACATAGTTTTTTCTCTCATTTCATTCTTAAACTTATGTGTACTTCTTGAGCATGACATAATGAATAGTTCAAACGCCGAATTTAATAAAAGTTAGATTTTGGCTGCTGTTACAGTCAAACATATTTCAACGCAATTTTTTTCTTTTAATCGTAACTTTGACGTATCTAAGGTTCGATAATTGGAATTTCCAAGTGATATACATAGGGACTCGTCTGGTTTCTGACATATGGGATTGTCAGCCAGCAATTTATCAAGAGATAATTCGCAACGGAAAATTGGCAAAGCCGTAAAACATACTTGCAATTAAGAGCCATTTCTGCATAACAATGTATGAGTTGTTTACCATATTCTTTTATTGATAGTATGCTTTCTTTCATCATATATCAACTGTTTTATATCATTTAAATCATTCAGTTGATCGAATTTGCTAAAATTTAACTTTTCGTCTGATTCATTTTCATTATCGTCATTCTCATTAATAAAGATATTTTTAAAATATGAATGTCCCATAGCTTGTTCTATTGTGTAACGTTCAACGGGATTAACTTGCAATAAATTGGTTAATAATTGTATTGCCTCTTGATCAATCGGAAAATGTGATGCGAATAATGTATCGAATGTTCGCATGGTTAGTGGTGTTTTATAGAATTGGCTTATAAGATCATATTGATCTTTTGGTATCCATTTCATGCGTTCTTTTGTTGGTAAACCAACTAAACAAAATATTTTTTTGAATACTTGCAAAAAATCATTACCGTTAAATAGTGGTTCCCCATGGATCATTTCACCAAATACACAGCCACATGACCATATGTCTATGGATGGATTATAACGAGAACAGTTTAATAAAAGTTCAGGAGCACGATACCATAATGTACCAACTGTAAAAGCACAAAGTGATAGCATTAATAAACACACATTTTTATGCCCCTGGTGACCTACTTATTATTGAATAAATTCTCAGTACAATGGCAACTACATCTCGTACATATACATAGATGTGCCGATACTGCTATCCGTCCAAAAAAGCAATGCGATCGATTGTTTCTTGAATAAAGTTTATACAGATAGAGACTTACAGTTTTACTATTCGATAGACAAGATCTTAGTGCATCTTGTCTGTGACAGACGTACTTTAAGGTCGCTTTTTCAGATAGTGTATCAGTCAAGTCTGTGAAAAACAGAGTCTCTACTTAAAACATATTTATAATAACGTGCTGTTCTTAGATGCTCTAAGTGTTTTCTATCGATAGACGCAAGTCCGAAGACTCTAGTTATCATGGCTCGAGTTGGACTCAGTTTTGCTGGACCCACCATGCATCTATTTATTAGTGCAGTAGACCTTGAAAATATATGAAAACATAAGTTATCGACCATGCTGCATCTTGATTTTGCGAAAAAATTCCAGATACTGGGTGAAAACCTATATTAGGTGGTATAACCCATTTTTACTATTTTCGCATAAAATTCAAAAACTCATAACTCAGTCAAAATCGATCCAACCTATGTAAGAATATCAAGATGTAATCTACCTCATGTGCTCAATATGATGTTTTACTTAAGTGCCATTATAGATAAGGCACGAACTATTACCGTATAATGCTGTTTAATCGGCCATCTCAAATTTCTTCCAAAGTTTGGGGCTTATTTAGAACAAACATTTTCATGAATTTTGGCGAGAATCGGAAGTCCTAAAGGTGTTGCGTTGCAGAGATATTCAACTTTTACGAAAAGCCCCAAAAAGCTAATATTCTGCCATCTTAAAAAATTGTCAACTTAAACTGTATAACTTTGTAACGACGTGTGACATAGACTAATCAACTTTACCATAAATACTAGGTAGGATCTACTGCAAATTCACACAACCGCGAGCTACGAACAGGTTTTCAATTCGATTTGCGGTTTTCAAGTCAGCCATTTCGTACAGCATATTAAGTTATATATTTCAAGCTATTTTGATAACTATTCGTTTAGTTTTAACTAAGTTTTAAAATTTTAAAAGACTGGAGTATTTGCACGCACGCATATATGTTTGTTTTTAATCAATCATCATCATCATCATGGGTCGTGCTTTTGAGGCGTGGCAATAAGATTGTTTCAAACCCTTTTATCTTTCGCATAGGTGGCTATTTCGTTGGCAGTAAGTTCGACCTTTTTGTCTGGTAACAGATAATGTGATATTTGATGTGTGTATGTCGTGCGTTTTTGTCTTGACGTCTTTATGGTTGCGTTGTTCGACTCATAAAGGATATAGATGTTTGCCGGTTCGTCGGTGTTCATACGAAGGCAGTGTCCGGTGAATTTTAGTTGACGCGTTCGAATGGTTGTTGAGATCGACTGTTCGTTCGCCTTCTGGTAAAGAGCCTCATTGGTCATGTGGGCTTCTGATTGTTTGATACCCAGCATGATTCGATAGCAGGTTCTTGCGAATACGTCCATCTTTTTTGTCAAATCTGAGGGTAGAACCCAAGTTTCGCAGCCGTATAGTAGGATGGACACACATGCGGCATTGAAAAGTCGGATCTTGAATTTCACTGTTGGTTTTGGTGATCTCAGTATTGACTGGAGCTTCCTAAATGCGACCCATGCAAGTGCAATTCTAGCTTTGACGTCTTTTTCAGTGGATTCCATGAAAGAACCCAGGTATTTGAATTCCACAACGATGGCAATGTTTTGACCATTGATGTGAAGTTTGCGGATGATGTGACTGTATTGTTGGCTAGGTTGAGGCGCATTTAATCAATACTTGAACTAAAGGTTTCTGATTCCATCAAAACTAATCGAACAGTTATAAAAACAGCTTGACATATGTAACTTAATATGCTCTACAAAATGACTGACTTGAAAACCGCATATCGAATAGAAAAATTTGATGTTCTGGCTTTCTAGAAACCTCACTTGGTTTCCGACGGGTTTTGAAAGATCCGCAAAATCTCACGAAGGCTCATAATAGTACACCTGGTGTACTCCAACAGTATCATAGGGGACCGGGAATTCACCTCATTTCTCGGGAGAGAATCGTTCTCCAAAACGTATAGGTCGATGATTTGGGCTATCACAGCGTCGCCTACTGTAGAAGAACGAAAATCTGTTCGAAGCTAGCGATTGTGTGAATTTGCAGTAGATACTATGTAGTATTTATGGTAAATTGATTAGTCTAAGTCACATGTCGTCACGAAGTTACACGTAGCTTTCACTCAGTATCTGGAATTTTTTCGCAAAATCAAGATGCAGCATGGTCGATAACTTATGTTTTCATATATTTTCAAGGTCTACTGCACTAATAAATAGATGCATGGTGGGTCCAGCAAAACTGAGTCCAACT